CACATAGTTTTTAACTCTTTTTTTGCCATTCTGTGGCAGAAAGGACTTCTCAGGCTGGGAGCCTGCGGAGAGGTCCGTTTGCAAATGCACCCTGCTCAGAGTTTGCCAGAGCTCAACTCCCTCCTGTTGCTTTGTTGGAGGCACCGATCTCCTGGTCTGGGTCAGGAACAGTGTGGCCAGCAGGACCAGGGCAATGACTGTGCCTCTGTGCTGGCACTGCTGAAGCACCTTGAGTTCTGGGTCCAGTTCTGGGCCCCTCATGGCAAGAAGGACTTGGACTGGAGCGTGTCCAGAGAAGGGAACAGAGCTGGGGAAGGGGCTGGAGCCCCAGGAGGGGCTGAGGGAGCTGGGAAGGGGCTCAGCCTGGAGAAAAGGAGGTTCAGGGGGGACCTTGCGGCTCTGCACAGCTCCTGACAGGAGGGGACAGCCAGGGGGGTTGGGCTCTGCTCCCAGGGAACAGGGACAGGACAAGGGGAAACAGAGAGAATCAGGTTAAACATCAGGAGAAATTTCTCCACTGAAAGGGTGGTCAGGCCTTGGAAGGGGCTGCCCAGGGAGGTGTCAGATGTGTTCCACCGTTCCTGGAGGTGTCCAAGGAACGACTGGACGTGGCACTCCATGCTCTGGGCTGGCTGGCAAGGTGGGGATCAGTCACAGGTTGGACTTGATGATCTTGGAGGTCTTTTCCAAACTAAATGATTCCGTGATTCTGTGATGATAAACACCAAAAGTGTGATTAACTGGATTTTTTGGACTAATTTTTTTTGATCCTATTGCCAACAACAGCAGCCAGAGATTCAGGTGACACAAGACTCTGCCCAGACCAAAAAGTCTGTAAGGCCTGTGGAAGAAGTCTGGAAGTTGAAGAAAGAGCTTGAGGATGAGACTCAGCGTCGGCAACAGCTCGAGGCGGAGATTGAAGCCATTCAGAACAACATTGTCCACCTGCAAAACCAGAAGCCCCAAGAAACCGTGGTGAAGAAAGAACTGGTGAAGAAGGTACCTGACCCCCAGCTGGAGGAGAGTTTTCACAGACTGCAGCAAAACCTGGCAGAGGAGCAGCGCAAGAACCAGGCGCTCCAGGATGAGCTGGAGGCTCTTAAAATCCGGCTGCGAGTCCTGGAGCACGAGAAGAGGGAAGGAGGGCAGGAGTACATAGTGAAAGAGGTGCTGAGGATTGAACAAGATAAGGCTCAAGCCGCTGAAATCCTGAAACTCAAAGAGGAACTGGAAGAGCTCAGGAGGCAGGAAGGGACAAGGGAGAGTGAAGTCATCCTCTTACGCCAACAAATTGCTGTGCTGTCCAGCGAGAAGAACAAAGAGCAGGAGAAGGTGACGGAGAAGGAGGTGCTGAAGCTGCAGAACGATCCCCAGCTGGAGATGGAATTCCGGATGTTGCAGGAGACCAAGGAGAGGGAGAGCGCCCTTCGGCAGAAGCACGAGGAAGAGCTCAGCTTCCTCCAGGACAAGCTCAAGCGTCTGGAGAAGGAAAGAGCCATCGCCGAGGGCAAAATCACCGTCAAGGAGGTGCTGAAGGTGGAGAAAGATTTGGCCATTGAGAGGGAGGTGAACGAGCTCCGGCGCCAGTACGAAGATGAGAAGTCCAAGGGCCGCTCCAACGAGCGGGAAAAGGCTGAACTGCTCAGGAAGATCCAGCTGCTGGAGGAGGAGAACTCCAAGGTGGTCGTTCAGGAGAAAGTGCGTGAGATTGTGCGCCCAGACCCCAAGGCTGAGAATGAAGTTGCCAACCTTCGCTTGGAGCTGGTAGAGCAGGAGAGGAGGTACCGCGGTGGGGACGAACAGCTGAAGAGCTGCCAGAACGAGCTGGCTGCTCTGAAGAACAGGGGGCCTCTGGTAGAAGTCAAAGAAGTCATTAAGGAGGTCATTAAGTACAAGAATGATCCAGAAACCGAAAAGGAGCTACAGCGACTCCGGGAGGAAATCATAGAAAGGACTGGAGCTATCGAAAGAGCTGACCTGGAGATCTACCAGCTGAAACAAGAGATACAAGCTTTGAAAGACACCAAACCTCAAGTGCAAATGAAGGAAGTTGTTCAAGAAATCCTCCAGTTTCGGGAAGACCCCAAGACTAGAGAGGAGGTAGAGTCGCTGCGAGTGCAGCTGGCAGATGAACAAATGAAGCACATCGACCTGGAGAGGGAACGGCTTCTCCAAGAAGAAAAAGTAAGACTGAAGGAGGAAGAACTTTCCCAAGTGAAGGAGAAAGTGGTCCAACAGGAAGTAGTGAAGTATGAGCAGGATCCTGCCTTGAAAGCTGAGGTGAACTCCTTCTCGCAGAGCATCGAGAGCGAACTGAAGCAGATTGACAGCCTCCGTGAAGAGCTGCGCAAGCTGCAGAGGAGACGCTCCGAGCTGGAACGGCAGCTCGAGGAGCTGGAGAAGGAGAGACAGGCCCGCAGGGAGGCCGAGCTGGAGGTGCAGAGGCTCAGGATCCGGCTGAGCGAGCTGGAAGAACAGGAAAGAGAAACGACAGAACGAGTGACTGTGAAACAGAAAGTGATCCTTCAGCAAGATCCCCAGCAGGAGAAGGAGCACTCCCTCCTCAAGCTGGAGTTAGAAGAAGAGAAGCACCGCAGACAAGTCCTGCAAACCGAGCTAGAAGCCCTGAGAAAGAAGCTCCTTTCTTTGGAGAAGATGGAGGTCAAGGAGAAAGTGGTCTTTTCAGAGAGTGTCCAAGTGGACAAAGGAGACACGGAGTACGAGATTCAAAAGCTGAAGAGCAACCTGGAGGAAGAAAGTAGGCGCAAGAGGGAGCTGGATGCAGATCTCAACCGCCTGGAAACCAGGCTGTCCGAGGTGGAATTCAACAACTCCAAGTCATCAAAGGAGCTAGACTTGTTAAGGGAGGAAAACCACAAGCTCCACCTCGAGAAACAGAACCTACTGATGGAAACAAGGAGACTGCAGTCAGAGATTGAACTCACCGCAACAGAAGCTCAGGATTTAAGAAACATGACCCATGTGGACAGTGGAATAAACCTGGACTCCAGGTTCCAAGCTTTGGAAAGAGAGCTAGAGGATCTGAAGCAGTTGTCCAGAGAAAAAGATGCAGAGATTGAGCAACTCCAGAATCGCCTGAAGACAGTGGCTATCAAGAGGGAGCAACGGGAGAACCACCTGAGGCGCTCCATCGTGGTCATTGACCCCGACACAGGAAAAGAGATGTCTCCAGAGGAAGCTCACGTGTTTGGCCTCATTGAATGGAGCCTGTTTGTCAAGCTGAAGAGCCAGGAATGTGACTGGGAGGAGATCTCAATAAAGGGTCCCAACGGGGAATCGTCTGTGATCCTCGACAGGAAGTCTGGCAGGGAGTTCTCCATCGAGGACGCCCTGAAGAGCGGGAGGCTCACCACGGCCCAGTACGACAGTTACCTCAACAAGGAGATGTCCATCCAGGAGCTGGCAGTCTTGGTGTCCGGAAGCAATTACACAGCGCTCGCTCCACTTTAGAAACTTCACTTCAAGAGCAGCCAGTCAGAGCTGCAGCACCTTGCAGACATCCAGATCACTGCAAAGCCTCGCCCTCCTTTGCGTCTTCCAAACTGCTACAGCCTCTGCCCCAGCCATGCTATGCAGCCACACCGCTTGTTGTCACACGCTGCAGAAACCACCACCAGTAGTGGAAAACATCTGCCAACCTCCCGAAACCCCTCTTCCTCCCTGCCTACCAGAAAACAAGAGAAAGCCTTAGGACAGCGAAGTGCCTCAAATCCAAAATACTCAGTAGAACCTGCAGTTTCCTCGACTCCTACTCACATAGTCGTGTACGAAGCCGTGTCAGGAGACTGAAGGTCCAGGTGACTCCGAGGTGACCAGCAGGAGCTGGTTACATCAGCTGCATGTCGATAAGCCAGACAGTCCCACCATGAACAACTGACTCAATGATGGGCTCGTCCTCTGAGAAAACCAGCTGGGTGGAAGCCAAGGTTTCAGCCCAGGATCAGCACGTCAAGACTCACCAGCATTTGTTCACCTCTGTGCCTGTGCTGCTGGGGAAGAATGAAGGTGTACTTGGATGGCACCAGCCATTGATCCAGGAGGAGCATTCACACACCCCAGAGGTGAAGGAGAAGGACATGAAGAGATGGCAGAACCACCAGACACAAGGACTTGCGCACAGCATGCACGGGAACCCAGTGCAGAGGGCCTCCCACAGACAGCTCCTTCACTCGTGGGTAAAAGCTGTTAGTGCTGGTGTTTTCCTGGATGGAGTTACATGCAGCTACATGTTTCATTTACTTGTGTAAGGGAATGGGGAATAGAGGGGAATTCTATTTATAGTACAAAATAAAAATGCAGTGGTTCCAGTCAGAAGGTGTTTGACCTTTATTATGGCAGCTCCTGATATTTGGCTGTACAAGAAGCTGCCATTTAGGAGTCAGAATTAAAACACTAAGATTATTCATTTTAGCTGTTGGCTCTTTTCCAAAGGGAAATTGCTGGAGCAGCATTGAAGCTGGGACTAATGAGCAGCATTAGATGGGAGTGAAGTGCACTAAAGAATGTGACTGCCTGCAGAAGAGTGGATTACACTGGGATGGTGCCTTTCAGAGCCCATTCACTTCCTTTTGACCAAATTTCAACTAATACCCAAGCCCTGAGGAGCTCTGATGTCCACAAAAGCAGTCACAAGCATTCCCTGCTTATTCCTCCTGGCTCTGGGAATTAACACTACTATTTTATCTTTGTGAATGAAGGGATCAGGATCTCACTGGTGCTCTGGGGTCTGAGCACCTCTGGGGTCCTTTAAAGCAGAGACCAACTTCAAGCACCATTAGGAGCACAGGGAATGAGAAGAAACATTCCTACCCCCTGCCAACAGCTGTAACACAGCTGCCATTCACTCACCATGTAGGAGACTTTAAAACAGTCAATAATTCATTACTCACTTGAAATACAGATGAGCATCCAAGCCACAACAGAAAATTCTTGGGAAAAAAATGAGGGGAACTAGAGGTAAGGAGATTGGGGAAAATAAGTGTTTTGGAAAGTTTGAAACAATTTATTGAGTTGTTCTGTACAAGATTAACATTTTTCATACCACCCCCACCATCTTAAGCAAGACAGTGCCAACACACATAAAAAAAATAGAATAGTAAACTGCAGCTCTTACACCCAAAAGGAACTGCTATCCCCAGGTAAGTGCCAAGGGAGCCTATCCCTCCCCATTCCATCCTGGAAGCGCTGCAAGTTGCCTCACCAAGGCAGAAGTGCCAGCCTGGCTTCCCATCAGCTGCTCTGCATGGGCCTGCCTTGCTGCCACTCTGCTCCACACCACTCACTCATTCATTATAGCATGTAAAGAAAAAATATCCCACAGAATTTCCACCACATAAACATTTCCCTGAGGCAAGAGGCTTCGCTGAATTCCTAGGAGGAGGGCATTCTGCTCCGGCCGCGCACCGGGGGCTTCCCAGCAGAAGCATTCAAGTGAAAGCAAAGAGAGGGAAGAGAACCAGTACCTCGAGTCACTCACTGAGAGCCCCTGTCCTGCCAGGTGTCCCAAGCTTTTGGCTCCCAGGGGAAGGTGAAGGTGCCAAGCACCCCTCAGGATGAGACCTTCAACAGGAACCACGCGACATCCACTGCTCAGAGTCCACCAAGAAATCTGTGCTTCCTTTTACCCACACGAGTTCTGTCTTTGGCTCTTCTGCTACAGCCTAGGTATTTTCTGTCAACAGACTTGAAATCTGAGCTGTTCCATTAATTTGAAATACAATCAACTCACTGATCCTGGGCAGTTATGTATCAGCTCAAATTGAAAACAAGTTCTTTCTCCGATCCTAATAAAAACCAGAGGAAACTAAAGCAGACATTTGCTGATATCCTGGGGTCAGCATGCTTCCCCAAAGCTCAAGGAGGAAGCTACAAGCTTTTCCTTGGAATACCAGTAAATTCTACATGGATCAGCACTACCCCTACACAACTGGGATGTGGCTGTGGGGGCCTGAGAGAAGACAGACAGGGCAGAGCAGGAAACCAAACCTCAGAAAGCTCAGGTGGAGCCTCAGCCTGCCTTAGCCTGAAAGGGGGTGCACAGGGGGAGTATTTAGCTCTAAAGTTAAAAAAATGAATAAGAAAAGACACCCCCTGACTGCAGATGGTTCCTGTACCTGCGGCTGTGCTGAGCACATGATCCTGGTGTAGGATTGAGGAGAGCAGTGTTTTTCTCTGGAATTCATTTGACAGGTCGTGACCTTGGTTCATCTCGCTCATTCCCTCTGCCCACCAGATTGATCCTAACTCACAACCCTAGGAAAGAATGGCTTTAGGGGAGGGCCTGGAACCCGCCTGCACATACTGGGATGAGAACTGGTGCTCCTGCTGGATTTGGGGCTGTGCTCAGTCACCAGGTCACCACTGAAGTCCAGACAGTGCAGCTTTGTTGGTTTTTTTTTTTTGTTTTGTTTTGTTTTGTTTTTTCTGATGTGCAACCATAAAAAGCTCTATTAAATAAACCAGAATACATTTTAAATACAGAATGATTAAAAAAGGGTTGAGGAGCACACAAAATAGGGCTGAAATGTGTGTCACTAGTCCATTCTTGCTCCACCATAAAAGGCACTGGAATTATGTCTTCCGATCCATGTGACATGCTAAGAAGTATCCCATTCAATCCAATGCATTCGATGGCAATGAGGATAAAACTGAGCAGGAAAAAAGCATCCCTTTGGAGGGAAAAAAATCCAAAAACTCAAAAGAAGTAGAATTCTAAAAGTCAATGACTGCATCTAAAAATGTCTTTAGTCTCTAGAGTCTTCCTTCTCCTCCAGAGGGGAACATCAGGTGGTTCCTCAGATTCACCACACAGGAAATGCTAAATCCTCCAATTAAGTGTAGCACAGTTTTATAGTACAATTGGAAAGTTACTCAAATGTCTTTGAGAAAGCACTGGCAATGCTAGAATTATCCAAGTAAATCCAAAGCAGAAGAAAGAAGCACCTTTCATACCCTCCACGGGGAGACCAAGGAGGTAACTGGACTTGGAGGTACTTGGCAGCTACAGACACAGGTGGGTGGGAATCCACTGCAGGACCACCCGAGCCTCCCTGTGAGTTCCAGCTCCTGCCAGTGCCAGGGAATGCAGGAAGGGCAGCAGCAATAAACAGTGCTACAAAAGGCTCCTCTCATCAGGGCATGGCTCCAGGTGGCCCCATGTGTGAGGCTCAGCTCTGAAAGCCTCTGAGCAGACACCCCAATGAGTTCCTTGTTGCAGTTCAGTCTCTCCAGTTGTCATAAAAAAATAAGAAATAGGAAAAAAAAAAAAGAAATCAAAAGACACAGCTGGTATCCAAAGTCCATGACCTGTTCCTCTGGGTTTTATCCTATGGGTGCTGGAGCTCCCCTCCTTGCAGGCGTCACAACTTGCGCTGCTGAGCATTGGACCCTTTGCCGTGAAGCTGAGAAGCATCTGAAAGAAAATAAAACAGCTGGGAAGGGGATCAGCACCAGCCCATGGAGGGTGGGCAGCTGGGACAGCCAGGCCTCTGCACAGAGGGAAAGACCTACTCTTCCTTCCCTGCACCCAGGGATCAAGAAGAAGAGGATGTGCCTGGAGACATCTCTCCACTGGGAGCAGCCCAGCCTCTGGGGAAGGGACAAGGGAAGCACTGAAGGTCCCCTGTGGGCTCCCAGCAGAAGCCCCTCAGCACAATTCCAGCTGCCAGGGAACTCCTTAGCCTGTGCCCTTCTCTAAATCCACCCTGCCACATCTCCCCCTCCAGGAATCCCAAAATACATGGTGTGGTTGCCTTACCAACAGGTGGTTGGAAGTAACCTGTTGTACATTTTTGCTGTTGCAATCACAGAATCACTGAGGTTGGAAAAGACCTCCAAGACCACGGAGTCCAACCTGTGAGCCATCTACAGCTTGTCCCCAGCCCAGAGCACTGAGTGCCAAGTCCAGGCCTTCCCTGGACACATCCAGGGATGGGGACTCCAAACCTCCCTGGACAGCCCCTGCCAATGCCTGACCACCATTTCCATACAGAAACTCCTCCTGATGTCCAACCTCAACTTTCCTATTTCCTCTTGTCCTGTCACTGATTCTGTGAGAGAAGAGGCAAACCCCTCACCTAGAAACTCCTTTCAGGAAGGGATTTAGGTGCTTTATTGATTATTTTTTAAATTATTGAATTAGGTGCTTTTTAAATGAAGGCTTTAGGTGGCCAGTGATAGCATCAGGATCCATAGGAATCTCACCACTGATGGAACAGAAAGGAATGGATGTGGAGGACAAGAGAAAATGCACTGAAGAGAGAAAAAGGAAGGAAATTTAGGGAAGCAAAAGTTTTCCAGGAGCAATTAAAACTACTTCAGACTGTGATGAACAAATGGGAGTACTGAGACGTGTGGCTAAGCAGCAGAGGCACCCAGCAGCAGCTTCTCCTGCAGGCCAAGAACAGCTCCTTTGCATGCAAGAGCTCAGCCCAGCACATTCCCAGCACCACATTCCCAGCCCCAGCACAAGGAACCTCCACCAGCAACGGAAGCACCGACCACACACAGACAAGCACTGGATGCTCTTTGCTCAGAGGCTTTCGGATGAACATGGACAAAAGCACTTTTATTTAAGGCATCAATTCTCTTGCATTTGCAGCAACCTCCCACGCACCTTGCAGTGTTCAAACACAGCAATGCAGCTGTGGGCACGTGGTGGCACAGCCAAACACAGCTCGTGCCACAAAACACAGGAATTCATTTTAAGGTTATGGGAGTCACTTAAATATCTACTGTGTTCTCCTCCAAAACACCAGAATTGGGAATGTCCCAAGAGATGGCAGCACCAGGCTCCATCTCAATCTTTAAGTGAAAGCACCGAGTAAGAAAGCAGGTCCTTGCTGAAGCTGGATCCATGGTCAATTTTCCTTCACTTATTCCCAGTGGTCTTTTCTCTTCTGGCCCTACATCCTGCTGAAGAGTACATCAAAAAATTCTTCTGTTATAAGCCCTATGAACAACAGTGAAGTGATCACTCTGAACTCCCTCAGCTAAAGGGACAAAGAGCTGCTCCTCAGTGACAGGGAATATATTCCACAAGCCATGTTCAAGGTGCAATCTCTGGTCTCATTCCAGGAAATGTGATTTACAAACAAGAAGGAAGGGTCTGTCACACCAGTGATCACTGCCAGGACCTTCTTCAGCTCTACCACAGCAGCATGGCACAACCCACAGCAAACTTCAGCAAAGGAAGCAAACCCAACCAATTCTTTGCATTTCCATGAGTGCACAACACACTCTTCCTTCTTCAGCAAACAAGCACCGTGCTCAGCAAAGGCCTTTTATTCCATGACTCCTCCAGGATGCTACATGGTTATCCATGCACACAGGACCAGGCTAGCACTCCTAAATCAGGCTCACTTAGCCCAGCAAGACCATCCCAACAGGAGCAGGTACTGAGATAATGGCACTGAACTGCACTGAAGTGCTAAAGAACACACCTAAGAAAGCAGAAATAGGAGTTATCAGGGGAGTAAGCAGCTCCCTGAAGCAAGTAAACATGATCTGCTGGCGCTGAATTTCAATTTTCCTTACTTCTCTCCTTCTTTGGAAAAGTCTTGTTTTATGCATCACTTCTGGAGGCATCAAACTGGGGCAGGAACAGGCTTAACTGCCAGATCCTCACGTTGTGAGCAGCAAGTGGAGCAATCTGCATTTTACACTACAAACTTGTCATGAAGGAGATGCTGGCAATTAACTCAGTGCACAGACACAAGACAGTCTGGTCTGACACATTTTATGTAGGCCACCAGGAATAAAACTCCCCAGAGCTGGAATATTCATTCCAGGGCAGTCCTGGCAGGCTGTGCACAAACAGGCACAGCTTTCATCCTGGAAGGATAACTCCGAGTATCTGCAGGAACCAACACTTGCTGTAACCACTGAGGACTCATCATTCCAGAAATCACAGAATCCAAGATGGTTTGATTGGAAGGGACCTTAAAGGCCATCCCATTCCACCCCTGCCATGAGCAGGGACACTTTCCACCAGCCCAGGCTGCTCCAAGCCCTGTCCAACCTGGCCTTGGGCACTGCCAGGGACCCAGGGGCAGCCACAGCTGCTCTGGGCAGCCTGTGCCAGGGCCTGCCCACCCTCACAGCCAAGAATTTCTCCCTAATCATGGAATGGCTTGGGTTGGAAGAGACCTTAAAGCCCATCCTTTTCCACTCCCTGCCATGGGCAGGGACACCGTCCACCACACCAGGTTGCTCCCAGCCCCTCACTCTGTACCTCAGAGAGGCTTTAGTGACAACCACACAGCTGGAAAACATGGAGAACCCCTTTGGCTCCAGCCCTGAAGGAAGGATCTGCTGAGATAGACTCACGAGGGAGAAGACAAACACGAGCATCTGACAAGTTACCTGGCAAACTCTGTGGTAAATGAGTGGACAGGGCAGAGTGTGGGAGTGGCGCTGCGTGGTGGGGGCTGGAGTGCAAACCAGCCAGAAGACCTAGAGAGAAAACAAAGAGAGGAGAGGGAAAAAGGAACAAATACACATCCAAGACAGAAATGAGCAGAGGAGCTGCAGCAGTTAGCAGAGGCTGGGTTCCAGTTATTGGCACTTCTGGGCGAGCTCTAGGGATGTGCCCAAGGTTCTCCAAATGCAACTGCTGGAGATACAAAAGCAGGGACCACAGCACAAAGCAACAGCCAGAGAGATGGGCTGGTGTGCAATGGGGCAGCCCAGCAGAGCACTGATGTTCTGTGTGACAGCACAGGCACAAGTGACACCCAGGTGAGCAGCAGGATACTCACTGTGCCCGAGGCCGTGGTGGAAAGTTCCCGGAGCAGGTCCCGTAACTATTGCATCCTTGGAAACTCCTGCTTTTGGGGAGGAGTCGGAACTGAAGGAGATGACATGGAGAGGGAAAGAATGAATAGGAGAGATAATACCTAACGGGGTGGAGCTCAGGGCAGCTGGCAGCTTTGGGTTGTTGGACTTGTAGGATGGAGCCAGTACACTTAAGGAGGAAGAGGTTGTTAGCAGCACAGCTCCACTAGTTCCTTTCTGCAAAGCAATGGAAAAGGTCAGTCAGGAGGGGGAGAATCAAGGTACAGCATCATTCATACTTACAGATCTGCAAAACATGGAATGTTGAGAATTCCCCCTTGGAAAAAGCACCCTCCCAGCCAGGGCCCAAGAGATGCCAACACTTGAGGCCATCTGCAGATGGACATTGGCGAGCCAGATCTTCGAAATGTGGCCACGCTGGATTTGCCTCCATGACTCCCTTGCTCTGGAATTGTGCCTCATTAGGCAGAGAAAAAGTCTCCACACTGCCTGTGAGTTCCAGGGGTATCCTTCCTGCTCACTTATGGCAGCACACACTGCTGACAACTCCAGGCACCATGGTCTGACACCCAAGGCACCCCAGGATGCTATTTAGGATCTCTCTCATGGAGACAGGCACCACTGGGGAGCCTGAGCCTTCCCAGCTCTCCAGCTCAGGAACAGACAAAATACATAAGCTGAGCAGTACATGCTTTCCATTTAAACACACTCCTTGTGTTTCCCAGCTCTTTCCATGGGGCACAAAGGAAGGTAGGCATAAGCAGCCAACAACAAATGAATACAAGGTTAGGAATTATTACTTTTTTCCTATAGATAAAAATTAAGCCACTTATACCATTAAGTCATACAATATTGTAATAACACAAGTCTGTACTGACAACCCAGAAGTCCTTCCTGAAATGTTCTGTCCCAACAGATATTGGGAAAATTTCTCCATGGAGCACTGGGGCACAGCTGCCCAGGGAAGGGGTGGAGTCACCATATCTGTGAGGATTTAAAAGCCATGTGGATGTGGCATTTGGGTTAGAGGTGGCCTGGGCAGTGCTGGGGGAGTGGCTGGACTCAATGATCTTAGAGGGCTTTTCCAACCTGAATGATTCCACGATTCTATAACCACAGGTAATTTACTCTATGGGCCAGTCATGACAAAAGTGGTAATAATATTAAAATTACTTGGAATAATTTAAAGAAGGCTAAGTTTATAGATCTAATTAATGACAAAGTCATCATTATACTTTTAGTTTATGCAATGAATTTAATCTCTTGTGATAAATTACCTTACTGCACTTTCTCTTAATCCAAACGGGAGCCCTACTGTCCCCATAACTTGCAAAGCTAGGGCAGGATCATGACATAGCCAGGGCAAAAATTGCCCTTTGGAAGGCAGCACAGTATTCAGCTTAGTGGTTATTTAAGCTGAAAATGAAAGCTGGAATTCTGGAGGGCAAGCCCAGGGCAAAGGCCACAACTTTCTAGTCTAAAGCAGCTGCAACCCAGACAGTCATTCAAGAACTTCAGCAACTGCTTCTGAAGTGCCCCCTTTGGGGGGTGAAAGGGGCAGAGCTCCCAGCACAGCCCCCTTACCGGCACAGAGGTAGAGGCTGCGGTGCTGCTGACCACAGCTGGCTTTAGGGACGAGGTCAGCAACTTGGCCACCCCCTGGGTGCCTCCGCTGGAATCTCCGTTGGAGCCCCCGGGAGGTGCCACCAGGGTCAGCTTCTGGGGAACGGGAGGTTTCTTCACCGAGGAGCCCGAGGCCGGGCGGCCGGAGGCCGAACCCGGGGAAGGGGCCGGAACGCTGGGGAGCAGAGCCCCAGAGGAGCTGCCCTGGCTGGCAGGAGCTCCAGAGGAGCTGCTGGAAGAAGCCCCATGCTTGGAGAGGGACCCAGCGACGAAAGGCGATTTGTAAGATTGTCCTGAAGAGCCGGAGCCACCCGAGTGCTTCCCGGCGTAGCTGAGAGATGATGAGGACAAGCCTTGGCTCTTGTGGGAGCTGCTGGAGTTTTGGGCGCTGCTTGGGGACGTGGAGGAATGGAAGCTCTGAGCTTTGGTTGATGACTTGACCTGCTGGAGGAGGGAGCGCTGGGGCAGAGGGGTGGAGGACTTGGGATTCTGCAGTTTGACAAAGGGAGCTGGGGAGGTGAAGGTTTTCTGGAGCTGAGCCCCAGGGTGGAACACCTTCACCTGAGAGCCCGGCACCGGCGCCGAGGCTGGGGGCCCGTGGCCTGGCCTGACCAGGCTGTGGTGCTTCTGTTTAGCCTGGTGGGCGTCAGGAAGGATTTTGCTGGGGGAGGCTTGGCAGGAATGCTCTTTGTAATTAGAGTTCTCTGTCTTCTTGTCTTGAGAAGACTGGCCCAACGCCAGGGCCTGCTCAGCTAGGAAGTTTAGAGGAGACTGGAGGGAACCAGAGGATGATGTAGGGGAAGGGTTGGGCTTTGGAAATGTCCTCTTCTCCTCTGAGGATGCAAGAGTTGGGATCTTCTCTGCTGGAGCTTTTGGAGCTGCAGGAAGAGTAAAGTCAGGGCTCCCTGCTGCCCTGCTGTTCAGCACAGCCAGTTCCTTGGACACTGCTTCCAGGGAGGAGGTGGGGTTGTGAATCAAGTCCTCATCCAAGGAGTCATCCTTGAAGGTGGCAGGAGTGGCAGTGCTGCTGGCAGCTTGGGCTGTCCCCAGGGACAAGAGTTCCCTGGTCTGGGCACTGATGCCCAAGGCTCCTCCCTGGGGCTCTGAGGACATGGCCAAGGTGCTGCTCGAGTGCAGGGAAAGGACAGACACCGACAGCTTCCTCTCTGGCTTGCAGGAAGAGTCCTGGAACAGCATCACAGGAGAAGGCACAGTCAGAAGAGAGACAGGGTTTACTGCTGAAAAGGGGAGGGAAGGTTCACAATTTGGGGATAAAAGGCAGGATACACATATTCTCTGCCCATGCTCCTCCACTTCCCTCCCAACTGCCACTGCCATCAATTTCAGCTGCTGTTCCACTTGTTTTTTCCAATCCAAATACTGAGCAGAGCCATTTCACAGTAGGTGATACAAAGCTCAAACACAGGGCTCAGGGTGGCAGTTGCTTGACTTTTGGCACACACCAGCCATAAGAATCAGAAAATAGAACTCACCTTCACTTTCACCTTGGTAGGAGCTATCACTTTCTTCTTTGCCCTGTTTGGAGGAAGACAAGAGAAACATGGCTCAGTGACTGCCCCCAAGGAAGGAGCCAGCTGGGGAGCACACCTGGGCCCTGCTAGTGATGATCCACTGAGTCTTTGCAGGGAAGAGGCAGCATCTCAGGTTGCTAGGATTCAAAACCACATGACATTTGGTTGCTGCTCTTGGAAGCCCCAGCTCCCACCCAGGGAGCAGATCAGGGAGTGGAGCAGTCTTGGAAGGGCAGCAGAGCAGTGAAACACCCACACACACATCCTGCACCACTGCAGGACCCCACTGCTGCCCTCCTACAGCAATGCCCAGAGAGAAACTGGCACAGAGACTGTTCTGCAGAAGTTAGACCCTTCTTTTGGGTTCCCAGAAGAAGCCAAGGATGCAAAAGCATCTGCCAAACTCCCAGAGAATAGATCTGGTCAGATGCAATCTCTGGTACAAGACATCCCTGAGCTGCTGGGTGGTGTGGCTGAGGGAAGGATGACTCTACACCCTATTCCACTTCCCCTCATTCACCCATGCCAAGAAAAGGACTGTCTGCCAAGCTGACACCCGCCTAAATCCACGTCCTCATCTGTTATCAACCACCAGCAAGATCCATGAGACCCTTTGGATTAAAGGCCCTGCCCAGCTGGATTCTGATGGCTCTTGGTGTGCCACCCACCTTCACTAGTCTGAGCTCATGGTGACCCTCCTTGAACCAGGCAACAAGAAAGAGGGAATCCAGAATCCAGCAAGGACCAACTGAACAGGCTGCAGTAATCACACTCCACTCCCCAGCACAGAGGCCTGACTCCAGGCTGTTGAACCAGAGACAACCTGGCTTTAAAGTTGTTCTTTTTGACCTTATTGAAGGCTAAAGCACCTGAGGAAAGTGTTGGGAGATGTCACACACAATAGCTGCTCTCCCTAGAGCTCCCCAAAGGAAGCAGTGCTGATGTATATGTGGCGGGAGCCAAGCAAGCTCAGGTGCTCCTGCAGGATCCCCCCAGGCCCCAGGGAATGGAGATCACCAGTTTTCACTCCAAAGGAATGCTGTGATACTCACAGGACTGATGTGAGGTGTCCATGTACACGCCTGCTCTCCTTAAACAGTGTCCTAAGAAGGGAAGAGAGCAATGAGAAGTGATATCCAGCAAGACCCAGTAGAGCAGCTGGGATCACTGGAGACAGAGCTGCAGAGTACAGCAGGGGACTTGGTGAAACTGAAACCACAGAGAGCAAACAAATATTCAGCCCTTTGCCAGGAAGATCATCCCAAGCTGCCCCACACAGTTCTCTCTCTGGGGAGCAATGCTTGTGGGCACTGGAAAGGCCTTTAAGGCAGTGGTTGGACAAAGCCTAAGGAAAAAGCTCTGCCAGCTTATAAAGCCAACTGGAGAGGCAAGATCATCATCACTCAGGGCCCTCCTGCTGCCAGAGATCATCCAAGAGCTCTCCAGGGAGAAAGTTGCCTTCCTGTGCCTCTCACCCAGCAATGCAGAAGGGTCTGTGCTGCCTTTGTGCCCCAGCCTGGAGCTGAGGTGGCTCTGTACATCACAGCCCCTTCTGGAAGGACTGACTGAGCACAGCCAACAGACTGAGCTCCACCCAAAGCCCTGCACTACTGAGGGTCAACCAGAGCCTCCTCAATCACTCTCTGACCCAAAGCAGCTGCCATTCAGCTGCCCTCTTACACATCAGGGAGGAGTTACAGACATTCCTCCAGTACTGGCACGTGGAATGTGAGTCCTGGCTGGTATTAACAGACTTTTGTCATCATTTTTCTCTTAAAAAGCAAGCTTATGTTAACCTAACATTCTGTTAATCATCTCTTAGTTCAAAAGGAGGAAAGAGACTCATGGCAGGGTCTCTAACTCATCCAGGAAATTGCTGCTCTGTCCACCTTCAAGTTCTTCTTACAGATGAACTTCTGAGACCATGATGACAGTGAATCAAGCTGACTTATCCATAAAATTGTTAGTTTTCCTAGAGCTACCAATCCCTTCCTGTGGCTGTCACTCTACCCTCTGTCCTTAAACCAAGTCAGAGAATATCTTGAGTTGGATGGGACCCAGAAAGATCAAATCTAACTTCAAGTCTCAGCAGAAGAAACCATTGCCCTTGAGCCACTGGAAAGCAACCAGGAAATCCACTTTTACTGAGGCACTACTTACTGTACCACTGGAAGTGCCTCCTACACTGAGACTTGGGTGAACACCTGAATGCCCAACAACATCAAACTTGGAGTTGAAGATTTTAATTTCCATTTATTCAAAGAAAAGTTTTTAAAACTTGGCAAGCTGAGAGCCTCAGGCTGGGTAAATCTTCATTAACTAAGCACTAACTTCCCCCACCTCCTACTGCCATCTTTCAGCTCCTGCACCAGCACACTACAACCACGCTCAGCACTGAGCTTCCTGTGCACGTGCAACTGCAACAAACAGCCCTGGACATCTCCAAATAGATCTCTGATGTGCCACTCGTACTTCCTGATCTTAGGAACTGCTACCCACATCTTCCTTTAGCTCCCAACACCCAAAAAGCAAATTCAGCAGAGAAGACAGCATTGCCCAGCTGGTGAAATGCGAAGAGACAGATCATGGAACAGCTTGGGTTGGAAGGAACCTTAAAGATTCCACAAGTAAGACTGCAGAGTTGTCCTTTCTTTAAAAGTACCGAGCAAAACAAAGCAGGTCAGAAGGTGATGACAGTCCCAGCAGAGGGACTCTGCCATTTGTGTGGCTCTCTGCCACTGCCAGCTGAGGGCAGGGATGATGGAGAGTGGGAAAGAGCAGGAAACAGCAGTGAGGGTACAGAAACCACACCAAATTCTACTGACTCTAATAAGCCCCTAAAACTTTACTACTTTGCCTTCTTTTGGGAATACTCAAGAGAAGACTTCCCAAAGTGTCTGAAAAATGTATCCCTTGTGATTATAAAGGATCTTTTGTAATACAGAGCTGAAAAAGCACAGACTGGCCGTGGGCCTGACCTCAGTGCCAGTTCCACCTGCCAGTGGCACCTGCCTCACATCAACACAGCACCAGGGCTACTCAGCACTGCCATTTACAGCCCTGGCTGCACTCAGGCACCTATGAGGTAAAAGGGACAGAGGGAGAGGGGAGAATATGCTGGAGGGCAGGGCTGCCATTCACAGGGCCCTTCCCAGGCTGGAGAAAGGGACCAACAGAAACCTTGTGAAGCTCAATAAATCCAGCACCAAGTCCTGCAGCTGGAATGGAACAACCCTGGGCAGCAACCCTGCAGGAAAGGACCTGGGGGGCAAGGGAAGGGAAGCCACTGCTGCAGAGTTGTCCTGCTGAGAGCACACCATCCCCTGCTCAGCACGTGGGAGGACACATCTGGACACAGATCCAGTTTCAGGGTCCCCACAATCAAAGAGAGATGCCAGCAAACTGGAGACATCCCAAGAAACAGGCACACATGACAGCCAAGGAGAGGTGGAGGAAACTGGGTTTGCTCAACCTGGAAAAGGAGAAGCCCCAGGAGGAGTCTAATGGCAGTTTTCCACTACCTAAAGAGTGGTGGGGACAGGAACAAGATGGAACCAGACCTTTCTCAAAGGTGCACAGTAAAAAACAAAAGCTGGGAATATTCAGTTCAGCGCAGCAAGGGGAATTCTTATAGGAAATAAGGAGCAAAGATTTCCTGAAGAGTGATCAAGCACCAGAACAGGAGCCCAGAGATGCTGTGGTAATCTCCATCCTTGGGAATTTCCAAAATTCCACATATGAAAGCCCTGAGCACTCTGATCTAACGCTGAAGCCAGCAATTCCCTGAGCAAGGGCAGGACTAATGACCTTCCCAGGTCCCTTGGGACAAGGAATCCCTTGATTCTTGCTCACCTGGCCTGCATCCAGCCTTTTGGCCAAAGGGGCTTCACCTCTCCTTCTAGGAAGGTCTTCACATAATCCTCTAGAGACTGAGCCTTATTCTTGTCAAGGTCATAACCATCCAATTTAATCTTCACCAAGTGGCAAAGCAGCTCCCTGAGGAACAGGAAGATTTCACATACAGTTATGCAGATTGACCTTTCCCACTTGGAGATCATTCTCTTTATCCAGGCTGGATAAATACACCAAGACACACTTTGCCAATACAATCCTGCACTGCCTCCTCAGGAAAGGAGAAGGGAAAGGCACATTTCTTGCTCTGTGTGTGCACACACATAGATGCACCAGGGAGAAAAGTCTTGTTACCCCTTCCCAGTGTAACCTCCTGAAGCAGCTGAGGCAGTAAAGCAGTGCCAGAGACACAGGCACCAGTAACAAACACAGAACTGAACCTCTCAGCAAGGAGAAGGCAGGAAGCACAGCTGGCTACGTCCTACATGGATCAGCAGCACAAATTGATTGGATCCAGAATAAGAAGAAAAAGACAGCAGGACTGATTTTCCTTTTACTCTTTGTCACTCTCCCCTATTCTCAGCACTCCCATCTCTGTCAGTCCCCCAAGTGCCAGGGGGAGCAAAGCCCAACAGCTTCAACTGCTTCCACAGCCAGAACCTGGGCATGTCAAGAGTCTGGGCTGTAGGACGTCAGCAATTCAGCTGAATCCCTTCTGTTCCCAAAGATCTGACTCTCTCTTTTGGACTCTGCACAGAGGCTTCTCAGCACTTCTCTCAGGGTGAGATGCAATAAATGCAGTAATGGCTTCCATGAACAACACCATGTGCCACCAACCTCCAAGCTGACTGCTCCTACAGGTGACCAGCACTGCCTTGTAAACAGAACACAGACACCAAAATGCTTCACTGCCAACTGCAAAGAGTAAGACAGGTCGTGAGTTTGCTTAATATCTGAGTTATTCAAACCTGATTTCATCATTCCACTGGAATTTCTTCCGTGGGCCCGCGACACGCTTCCCTCCCTTTTCTTCATCCTCATCATCATCAGAACAAACTCGCTGTTCTTTGTCTTTTTCCTCTTCCAGCATCCTAAAATGGAGACAGAAAAGGTGGAAGTGATCGTCCTGCAGGTTCAAGGGGAGGATTAAGTATCTCTGAACAGCACTGGACAGAGGGCTCAGTATCAGCAATCTCTGCCTTTGGGTGCAAACTGAGCTATGGGCTGAAGGTTAGGAAATCTCCCAATATTTTGTAATAGAGATGATGGGACTAATCCAGCCTGACTGTTCCCAGGCTGCCATGTTCCCAAGAACATGCCTGCACAGGCAAAACCCTTCAGCCAAGCTCTGGTCCCATCAGTGCTGCTGTAGCTGGCATGGCCACAGACAGCACAAAGAGCACACACAGCTTAATTAGGCCAATCAATGCCCATCAGCAAATTTAACCTACAGAACAAAAAGAGGTGGCAAACTTCAGGAGAGCAGCCTCCAGGCCACAGGGAGCCTGCTGGGAAAAGCTACAGATGGGGAATGAGCAAATGAGGAGCTTACTTGGCAAACCTGGCCTGAGTATGGGCTTGGCATTCCTCCTGGTACTTGGCCACCTGCTCTGGCATGGCCCTTCCAATGGCTTCCCTCAGCTTCTGCAGAGGCTCCTTCAGCCGGCCACCCTGCAGCAAGCACGGAGCTGTCAGCACAACGGGCCAGACTGGGCAGTAACTTACACAGAATCCATGTATTTACAGAAGGATGATCAATAATCTTTACTGAGAAACCTATACTTTCACACCTTAGTTCAATTCAGGTGGAATTCATTATTTTTTTAATTAAAACATCGTCATCAGTAGTTAATTAAGAAACCACCCTTTGGTAAACAAATCTCTGTAACACATTCCACACATTCACAATACCAAGTGCAGCAAGATAAGAATTGTTTCTTATTCTTTTCTCTGATCTTCTCACAGACTTATCCCAGAGCGATGCCTGGGAAAGTTGTCTGTTTCTCTCTGTGCCCAGAGAGCTGCTGCCACACAGAACACCCTGAAGCGTTCCCATGGCTGGGACACCAAAATCCAGCCAGCTCCAGCCCAGCCACCGTGCTGGGACAGTGCCCACAGAGGACACAGCGGTTTGGGGGTGCCCAGCAGGGCCACCCCCTGCCCAGCCTGTCCCTACCTGCTCGTAGAGGTAGAGCCTGCGGGCCCGCTTCAGCAGCGTGTCCTTGCTGCAGGGGAAGAAGGCGGCCAGGTGGGCGTAGACCCCCGAGCGGACCTGGCTGCTGAGCTCCCGCGTCTGCAGCTCGATGCTGTGGGACAAACGCAGAGTCAGCAGGATGCAAGGGACCCCGAGCCAGCAGTGCCACCCCGAGGGCACTGCCAGGCAGGGACAGAGTGTCGGATCCCCGGCCTGGTTCAGTGTGGGAATCCAGAGCTTCCCTCTGGCTGCCCTGGCAGGGGTCAGGAACCCCCCTGGACAGAGCCCCCATCATCATCATCAAAGTCACAAAATGCTTTGAATTGGAAGGGACCTTAAAGCTCATCTTGTTCCACCCCCTGCCATGTCCAGGCAGGGA